GTTAAGCATCCATCTGTATTTATACTTGGTTAAGAAAATGCCAGGTTACGAAAATCTTTCTAGAAATGCACGGAAAGCTGCGGAAAGTTGCGATAGAAAACTGGTTCTGTCATGCAATTTCTTAAGATTTAATTTCAAAATCGCTTATGCATTCAACCGTTTGTTATAATTGAAAGAATTGTGATGAAAAATTTGAAAAAAGACGGGAAAATCTAATTAAATTTCCCCATTATTTGTTTCGGCAACTTTCATGTTTGCATAATAAACAGAAGCGCTTTCATACGATATTGTGAAAATTTCGTAAATTTCTTGCCACGTTTCTCTTCTACCTGCGCACATAGGCGAAGAAGATAAAATCCATTTCCTCTCTGGTTCATGTATCCATACGGGTCCATAGCGTCGCTGAAAAATACGCCGTTCATTTTATCGCCGGGCGTAATGCAAACACATTTTTCCGAATTGCATACGCATAAATTTACCTACGCGGGTCAACGAGTTAACGTTCTCTGTTCGAAGATGCATTTACGCTCTAAATTCGGATACTGCTACAGTATCAGACGCACACACGCACAAGCACGCATATACACATACATATACACATGTATATATTTTAAACCAAGCGTGGGAATCTCATTGCTGGCACTTGCAGGATCGCCGGCTGCCCGCATTATGCACGGGTGCAAGCGCGTGCATACACATTGATGCGACCCGTGCACGCGGACGGAATACGCATACAGAGATCAAGAGCAACTCAACCTCGGCTTGTTTGCCGTTAATACACGAAAGCGACGTTACCGGCGTGTGTCAGTATGCATGCCTCCGGGAAATGTTCATTTACAGGAAACTTTTCATCCGATACTAGCCACCGGTTTATAATTTTAAGCTTTGTTTACCTATGAGATTTATTTACAGAAATCACGCGTTTCAGGAAACACGCGTATAAGTATGATATGACGGAATATCACATTGAAATTTACAGAACTTATGAAAAAGCCATATAAAAGAAAACTATATACTGATTGTGATTTATCAACGTATGTGGAAATAATAATTTCGGTTATTTGCCAATTTAAAATATTCAACTGTAACCTTTTTCCTCAAATTTCCGGTTTCAATCCAAAGCAGATAATGCTGATAATAACGACCATTTTATAAAAGCCGTTTGAAATTAATGCAAAAATAATTGCTTCGCGACATTTTGCCTGCAACTGCATTTAAATCGAAATTCCACCCACACGCGAATTGTAACGTAATAAATATTCATTTCTGTTGTTTCACGTTTTCACTATCGAGATGGTTCGTGAGTTCCAGGATCGATAAGGGTAACTATAATTTGATTACACTAATCGTGTCGCGGTGCAGCAAGCTGCATAAAAGTAATACCTATAAGCCGGCGTAAATGATCACCGAGCTGAAATTTCACTAGGAGCGATACAAACTGTAGTCCCCAAGCTTATTTCACGATATCTTGGGTATATATACATGTATATATCGGGCGACTAATCTACGGATAAAATTAGATGCGCCTGCGACGACAGGCCGCGTGGGACACGCGAAGTCGTCGACACAGGTTAACAAATTGGCGACACATGGGAAATCTTAGGTATCTTTACTTCTTCAGTATCACTTGCAGATGCATGCTCTTCTTTCTCTTCTTTCTTTTCGTCGGAAATGTATAGAATTTGTCATTATTTCCATTCTCTAGACTCGCAATCAATTCAAAATTTAAATTATCGTACTTGAAATATGCACACATAATTGCTGTTAAATATTTTGATGCATTGTAGGAATGAAAGATTTATACGTGGCGTGAACGTAATTATTTTGGTCACCTATATTTTGGATTGCGAAGCAGAAATAGAATAGATTATTGAAGATAATAATATTGCAATAACATGTAGTAATTGGTGTTACTCGACACTAGCTATTTGAATCATTCACAACAATCTATCAAATAGATCCCCTTATATAGTAACAATCATCGTTTATTGTAATAGTTTGTACAGTTATTGTACAGACTAACAAGGCTATCGACATATAACAGATTATGATAAACAAGAATTCTAAATGAAAACATGGAAAGCCATTCTTCTCTAATTGAATGATTGTTTAGAGAAATGTACACAATTGATTTTTATCAATATTTTTTAATTTGCGATTTATAACATCGCAATCATTATTATTGAGATTGTATGAATCAATGGGCGAAAGAAAGTGAAGGAGAGGTCTTATCGTGAATGTGATAAATTGTTACATCGTGTAGGATCACGCGTGCCGCACGCCATAAAACGGCCGGTTTTTTTTTAATTGGATACATTTTCGCCAAATTCAGTGGAAAATATTTCGTTGAGTGAAATTCAAGAGCGCACCACGAAAACGAGCCGTGATTGTAAATCGCGATCATTATTATTCGGATTAATGCAGAGAATAAATATTTTTTGATAAATAAAAATAAAATAATATGCTAAATAAAAATAAGATAAAGTAAATTTTTGAATTACTAATGTCTAGAGATAAAAAGTCGTCGCATTTTATAAATTAGATATAATATTGAATAAATTTGTAAAATTCTTGAAAATTGTTTCGATCAATATCGAGTTCGTTTTAAATACAATGGAAATATAATGTATCTTCTAATATATCGTGCATCTAATATATTAATTTATATTTCTAAGAGAATACAATTGAATCACTTATCAATTTTATGACAATAATTTAAGTCATTAAATCTTGAAATATATGTACAAATAATCTATACAAAATATAGAATAGAAATAGAAGTCAATTCACGTTATCAATAAATCAATAGATTTTATAATTTTTTTTGTTCTTTTATATGCACAGTTAAAGAAATTAAAGCAAAATTCCAGTAGCGATCCAAAAAAAATTTCATTTTGCAATTTTTTTTCTGTTAGTAAATGTAAAAAAAAAATTCACAAAAATCCATAAAAATAATTTTTAAATTCTTTGGAACATTAAAAATTATTCTAAATCTTGAGAGTAATTTTTAAACTTTAATATTAAGTATTATATTAAATAACGTAAGATATTCTTATTCAGATAAAAGTTTGTTTCATTTGATGTATGCGTTATGTAGTATAATTCACAGTTTAATAGTGAAAAAACAAGTCGCCATTAATGCGTGTATTAAAGCTGAGCTTGTATTTTATCATTGGACGGCACAATTCATATGAAAAATGAGTAATACCTCGGACTTTTTCAGAATGACAAGAGATGCTTTTCAAAGCAAATAAAAAAATAGTCATGCATACCAGATGGACAAGAATTCTTCCGAGTTCATTCGTGTGTTGGCAGTTCGTTGGCAGTTTGTTGGCTGGACATGCTTAGTAAAAAGCGCGAGCTTCAGCAATGGCAATGGAAATTACATTGCGCGTACTATTGTCGAAAAGCTTGCGCGAGGTTTAATATTTAGTCGTTAGGATTTCTCACGCAAAAGCTTCACCCATACGATAACGTCGCACGATCACGCAATTACACGATATTGATTTACGTGGACGCGTTTATGATCGCGGATTCGCAAAACGGAATTAAGTGATGTTGTGCACGTTGTTGAAAAAATTATTCTTACATGACGAAATCTGATTCTTTGAATCATACGCGCATAATGATTAAATTGAGTGCAACAATAAGCAATTTCACCTTATCTGACAAAAGTGCTAATAAAATGAATGGAGAACTCTGGGAAATTTCGAAACTCATGCACTCTGTGTATTATTCCGGTGTCGTTGAGCGCAATATTTCAGAAATTCGTGCTTTTTATAAATTCATACTGAATTCAATTTAGCATGAATCCATCGGCCCGACGAGAAAGATATCTCATTGTTATCTTTTCAAATATAATTTTTAATATTATGTGAATGTGCGCGCGCGCGCACACACACACACACACACACACACACACACGCATATATATATATATACACTTACTCTTTGAGGTACGCCTATTCTTGCGCGACTGTGTCTGGGAGAGCCTTGTACTTGGCCTTGTTTTTCTTTCCTGTGCGTCTTCAGCCCTCTTAGTAACCTCGAAAATGTTGTCTTCTTCTTGCTTGTATTTTGTCCTTGCTCTACAACATGGATAGAAATGATTAATGGATAAATTATTTAAACCAGTAATGGAATATTATATAGATTTAATGCATAATACGATAACTGATGGCAAAGGCAAATATTTTTTCGATTATCACGCACAATAATAATTACTTATCAATTTCTATTTATTTATTTATTTATCTCAAACTCTCGTTTGATTTTGCATATATAAAATAAAGAGATTCTTTTGCAATTTAAATTAACCGATTTTATTGATACATTTTAAAACTGTATTGTTCATTTGATCAAAATTTTAGAATATGACTGATCAAGAATGAACAAACGTATGCGCAAATGAAAATTTATATCTCGATTATTTTGCATTCCAATTCTTGAACAAACAGAATCGATGATATTACATTTGGTGCGGTAGTGAAGGTAAAAAAGATTTAGTTGGAGTTCAATACTGAAATATCAGAGGCCTAAATTTAATAGAATAAAATTTCTAATTGCTTTCGGTATTTGCAAATGTTTTTATTTTATGGATTTTACATGATTTATACAAAAGACATATAAAATCGGAGGCTCCAATTCAAATGAATTGGAAGGAAGCAGCTTCTTTGTTTCAATTTGAAGTAACAAGATTATTTCATGATTACTTGTGCATGCATTACTCGTTCAATTTTCTCTGTAATGATAAATTAGAAAATTTATCAATTTTGTGATTCTATTTTCAGATTGTTTTATTTTTTTTTAACCATTGTCACAATTTATCTAGTCGCGTTGACTTTTTATCATTGTTTAACAACTGTAACCATATTCGCGGATTAAATCGGCTTAAACGTAGAGAGCTTTATATAGTTGATTTAATGACCGATGCGTGAAGACCTTTCTGAAATCCTCAATTTGAGTAGCCATGCCACAAACTACTACCAATCTCAAATAATCGAATAAATCTGGGTTGCCCACAACATCACTATTCATTAACGGATAATTCAGGTGTACCGTTAGTTATCCGACCGCCCCCTCACAATGTCGATATATTGTATTAGAGTCAACGCATCCATTTATTAGCACTGTCAGCGTCGCCTAATTAGTAACCTTTACGACGAGCGATAGCTGAAACGAATTATCAAGCTTTCAACTGAAATTATTACATTAGGCTTTCAAAAATTAACTATTATCCGCTGAAAATTGTACAGACATTAACTAAAATTGATTATTTTTTAAGATATTTTCAACATTTATAAATATGTATAAATAAAAATGTTTTAGGCCCGGTTGCACCAACGTTACTTTGATTTTAAACGAGACTTTGACTTAAAACTCTCTCTAACTTGTTTTAAAACCGAAAAGAGACAGAAGCAAAGAGAGTTTTAAACTTCGCTTAAAATTAAAGTAACGTTGGTGTAACCGGGTCACTCATATTAAACTACGTATGTTTATTAAAATGTTCATTTAAAAAAATATACATACATGAAAAGAACGATTTTGTTAAAGTATCTAACAATTTAGCTAGATACAGATCTGAAAAAAATTTTGTTGAACCATCAAAATAATTACATAGGAAACTCAAACATAATGAGCAATGTTGCAAAAAGTTTTGACATTCTAGCAACCAGTTTGAGTGTTTTATATAATTATTATATTTTGATGTGCAATAAAATTATTTTTCGATCTGTATATGCCAAAACGTTTAGATATTTAAGTTAAAAGTATCCTTTCTATCTATGTATGTATAAAAATAAATCCTAATGAGATAATCTAATTACTTTATTTTTATAATTAAATACTCAATATTAATGTTATATTTCGTAAAACAAAAAGTGAAAAACTTTCGACTTGATCACTTAAAATTATTACTTTTAATCCTTTGATTTCATATCATATTTTCCCTTTTTCAATTTTTTTCTCTGCTTAATTAAAAAAATACTTAATAATTTCGTGTTTGTGTTATTCGAGGTAAACCTCATTTAAATTAAAGGTAAACGATGTGCACATATTTGCGAAAATACAGGGAAACCAATAAAAGATATTAATGTCATTGAAATCGTTACTGAGCACCTAGTTATGTCGTAGCCCACGTAATTACAACAGTATCGTTAGTCGTATAATGTCCCGATAGTGATAGTATTACAAAATGGTGTTAATGCGCGGATGGCAAACTGAATTTTCCCAGACCAGGCGACAAAGTGTTTACCGGATGGTTACTATTGGTTACGACATCCGAGTCGACATAACCAGCGAAATCGTGATTTAATCAAGGACCATCGTAAAGCAATAATTAATGCCGCGCTGTATCGATTTCGTGCGAAGCGACGCGTTAGGACAGTATAACGTGTTAATTAGAAGGTCGCGGCAGGGGTAGGAGATGCGCCATTATGCATACACGTATTTACCTAGAAAATTATTCGTGCGAGAAGGGAAACGAATTAACGTTGCCGCGCAATTATTACAACCCGCATTTTGCCGTGAACGCGTTCGCTGTTTCCGCAATAATAGCATCGCGTCACGGCTCTTTGCGGTGACAAACATTGAACGAGACTTTAACTTTTTTAAATAGTCTTCGCAGCTACTGTTGAATTCGTTAATTCAGATATTTTTGAGTTGCGTTGCGTAATATATTTAATTATTACATTTACCTCTGCGATGTTAACCTAACATTTAACATACACGATTATTTGTGCGCATTTTTTTCTTTGAAATACAGAATACTACGTGCACTGAGAAATTAGTTATATCATTTATATACAATTTTTAACAAAATTCCGAAAATATATAACCATACAACTACTTTCTACAAGTTTAAATATATTAAATATGTTAGAAATCACTTAACAATTTTTATAAAAGTGATGAAAATTAATTCTGGAACAATTTTGCTGAAATATCTACCATAAAAATTTAGCTGAATACAGGTTTAAAAATAAATTTTATTGGACCATCAAAATAACTATATACTCAAGTTGATTACTAAAATATCAAAATATTTTGCAGCATTGCTCATCATGCTCCAGTTTTCTACACAAATATTTTGATAATCCAATAAAATTATTTTTAGATCTGTATCTAGTTAAATCAAATAGTTCTGTAAAATCGTTTTTTTCCATGCACTAACAATCTATCGTGTGTAGTAAAAACTTAAAAATCATCATGTCTACTAAGAATTAATTACATGACAGATATGATAACATTTTGATAATACTAATATTCAACCTAATTAGAATGTAAGATAAACTAATGATAAAATATCAAAACCACTTTTAGATCGCATTTTCGAATTAAGTAACTAATCGCCTATCGTTAGAAAATTGATTCGCTCCTTACCGCCGCAATTATTCGTAGCCGCAATTAAGACGAGTTACAAGGATCTCCCACTGCATTTCGTGTGTGGCTTAACGGATCACCGTGCGGCAGTGTCTGGTCCTTACCTGACAAAGGTTTCCACGAGTTGCAGAAAATACTGGGAGCTAATTTCCGAAATTGAACCACAGATGTAACGATCGTACGCTCGTTCCCTTACCCTCGCCGCGAGAAAGCGGGCGGGTACAACCATGAATTCCCCGGAAGCTACTATTATTCTAGAGAGGATCGTACGTATTTTACCCGCCGGTCGGCGGGTGGCGCGCGGAGGTGGGCGAGCGATATGGGCAAAGAATACAAGAGACTCGCGGGACTACGAGTGTCGGAATGTCGTCCCGTAATATCGGAAATATATCGTCCGGGCTGTAACCACAAGTCATGTTCAATCGAATGAATCGTATGGAATAAAAATAAACCTGCCTACACCGTGGAGACGGCCAATACCCTCTCCGTCGGCGAAGGCTGTGGCGCGGGTTACGCGCGGGTGAAGGGAGCGGACACGATGGAGGAAGAAATTCGAGGAAGAGAAAGACACCAAGGAGAGAGACAAGACCTACCGCTTCCCGGAGGGTAGACGGCCCAAGAGTCGAGAGGAGAGAGGAATTCGAGGGGGATCGAACAAATGTTCCGGCGGCACATGCATCAAATCTTGAAGTTGCGTGAGAGATGGAGTTCCCTGCTTGCTCAGCGGCGAGCCGCGATAAAGCGGCCGAGCTGAGTTCACCCTCTTCATCGTCGTCGTTGTCGTTGATTCTCGCTCCGACTCGAAGCCAAGCGTTCGAGCAGTACTTATTATGCGCTCATGAAAGAGAGGAACACGTACAAAAAAATGCTTAATATGGCTCCGTGATCAAATCCTGATGCTCTTGAATTAAACGCTATGAACCTACCGAGATAGCGCATCTATCTCTTGCCTGCGTTCTCATGAAATTTCGTAGAACGTCAAGATAATCCTTAGCAAGATTTCGTGCTTAAACGATCAATGTCGATCAATGTTTGCATGCATCCATCTTGCCGACGTCGATATGAACATTTCCACCACGAAGGAAGTTCGACGAGGGTAACAGTTGATGGGCTATGCAGGAAATTGAGCCAAGAAGGAAACGGGAAGAAGATCCTACAGAAAAGGAAGAGAATACAAAGTTCTCTCCATTGCTAGACGAAATTTGTGTCGTATGTCGTCGTCACTCTTACAAAATATTTTCAATTATCATCATATGTTTTATAATTAGATTTTTATCTTCTAGAAAAATACTTATAATTTCCAAACCTATGTCAAGGAAGAAAAAATATTAGAATAAAATAATATTTATTAAAAGGATTTTTTCGTTGATTTTTGTAATAGTGCTTTCTTAATAAGT